TATGAATAGCTGTAGGAGACCCCTTGTACTAGTACCCCAGACTATAGGTCTGCGACTATATAAAGGGGCGGAGCAGCAGCTGGAAGATAACCTCTTTCACCTGTGACTCTGAACGTTCTCAGTTCTAGAACCCTCGTGCAATCGTACTCGCTCTCAAGAGGTAGTAAGCTCGTACGCTTGCTAGAGTCAGAACAGTGAACCTAGTAACCTTTGAGTGAACGTGCAGTAGCTGTAGCGGCCAAGGCCTAGCAAGGGTAGAGTGAGGACCTCACTGCTACATCGTCTACTAGGCTTGACCATACTATAAACCCTGCTAATAGTCTGCCTGACTATTGGAGATGTTAGGTATATTTGGTATCTAAGTCCCTGTTCACGTTGTGGACTAGTACATGTGAGAAAGCACACGTGGTTCTGAACGTTCTAGCAGGGAACGCTTCATAACATTTGGAAGAGGTTTTTCTATAGGTCAACCTGTTTAGATTTAGAACCACTTACGAGAAGTGGGGTCTACTTGGACGCTACAGGAAAACAATTCCATCAAATCCTCAAACAGGGGTATCCAATTCTAGGGAACTCGGTACACGTTGCGGCCTCTGTACCACTTGGAAAAACAGGGAGAACCACTCTGAAGTAGCCGTTGCGGTGGTACTTCGCCAGACAGGAGATTCTCGGAAGCGAGAAACTCGGTGTACGTTGCGGCCTCTGCACCACTTGGAAAAACAGGGAGAATCACTCTGAAGTAGCCGTTGCAGCAGTACTTCACCAGACAGGAGATTCTCGGAGAAGCGGAACCTGGCTACTTGTTGCGGCAAGGTACCTGCTGAAGGCAGTGTCGACTTGAGCCCCATTCTCACCGGAGGCGCTGGGTATACAGAAGACGCCAGTTAAGGACCACCGAAAGAAGGCACCCAAACCTTGCCGAGGTCGGTTTTCAATCGAGAAAATGCGAATAGGAAGGACGATTGGTTATAGGACACCAAGCAGAGGAAATCAAAAGCCAGAACGACCAAGCGCTCAAACGGGGGTAGGCAGGAGTTCGAACGTGACTAGCTGGGCACGTTAAAAAGCGAGCAGTGACTAGCTGGGCACTTTAAAAAGCGAGCACAGGATATCCGAGGTCAGAAAAGAGACTAGGACTCCGACTGGTTAAGGGCCACCAAAGATCAAAAGGCAGGAGTGCGGAGTTTTTGTTACAGGAACGAACTCAAGCACTAGCGATTACTCGTGTGGTAATCCAGAAGAGAAGCCCTCATCTGAGGCACACGTTGAAGACGTGCTAAAGCCCTTCCCAGGGAAGGCAATTCACGGATCTTAGGACAAGACAAGATTCAAAACGACTACTTTCCGAGAACACGATCCAGTATCTGAGGAAGAATCCCCAGAAACACGACCGGTGACTTCTGACGAAGAAGTACCACCATTTACGCTCAGTGACACCACCACAGAGGAATTAACAGACCTCTACGACAAAAAGTCGACAGAAGCGGTTCAACTTCGACTTCAATTTAGGCTAGGACGAGCCTACGAACCAACAGATCGCCCAAGGCTAGAGCAGCTCGAGGGTGAAATCGAAGAAATAAGACAAGTTCTTCGCGGAAGGGAAAACTTTGACGAAGAATCGCTACGACTCTTTGACGAAGCAACAGAACTTCCATGAGGAGAATCGATCCAAGTTAAATGACAGGAAGGGCGTTCACAGGAAACCGGTGGATTACAGCCAGTTAATCCTCTTGGAACAAGAGCAGTCCCGCTCGAGAGATCCATCTCGGACAGCACTACTCGACCAAATTATCCAGGAATCACAGATCTCAGAAGGGACCAGCCACCCCATCTACCCAATGCGCCTGGAATCACACGTTCGGTTTCAACCGGATCAAGACCAACCAGTAGCTTCCAGTTCTCAGGAAGTATGGCTACACACGCACGATATGACCCGGCTCTCGGACCACCAGTACATCCCGGAACTTGCACTGATGCCATCTGGAATGAGTACCAACAAGCATTGGGACTCTATGCGCAATACCAGGGAGCAATCCCCAAGCAGCCAGCGGCGCGAGAAAAGAAGATGGGAAAAATCAAGGAGTTTAGGGGAGATAAACGAGAATATGCATCGTTCCTCCGAAACGTGGAACGATACCTACAGGCAAACGTGGGAGTCTACAATGATGACTTCAGCAAAATTGCCTTCGTCCTCTCCCAAATCGACTCCTCGTCTACAGCAGGAAAGTGGGCCGAGTCATGGGAAGCCAACCAAATGGCGAAACACAGCAATCTTGGGACGTACCAGGATTTCAAGACGACGCTTACCAAAAAGTATGGAGGTGTCGCAACCAAGGACCAAGCCTGGCAAGTACTTCTCGAAGGGAAGTACAAGCAGGACAAGCAAACCGTCGATGAATATATCGGAAATCTCGATATCCTCTACCGATATGCCGAAATCGACGACGAATACGCCAAGCTCATCTACTTCAAGCGAGGCCTTAATGAGAAACTTGCAGAAAAAGTCTTCATCACAGAAAATCCACCGACGACCTATGCAGCAGCATGCAAGGCCGCAAGAAAGGTCACGGATCTCCAGGACATTCATAGCGGAAAGACAAACATCTTCAAGTTCATCTCAGGCTCTTCAGGAAGCGGAAGAAGGACGGAGAAGGACCCTGACGCAATGGACGTTGACCGGATCTCCCCAGAAACCCATCAGAAATGTTCTGTGGGTGGACTCTGCTACAACTGCAGAAGGCCAGGACATGTCGCCGCACAATGTCCAAATGCAGAATATGATCCGGCACCAGATGGCTCAGGAAAGACAACTTCATATGCCAAGACCAAGACGTCCAATTCCAGGACGAAGAAGTACTCCAGATCTGGCAGACGAAGAAAGACTTCCAAGCTGACTAAATCTTACTCCAAGGGAACGGAGAAGAAACACCGACGAGTAAAAAGAGTCGAAGAAAGTGACTCTGAGGATAACTCGGAGGAGTCAGAACAGGAAGAATCAGAATCCTCATTATCGGAAGAATCAGAATCTGAATCATCGGAATGTGAAGAAGTATCCGAACAACAGACAGTTGTTCACAGGGTACGAAGAGCTCGCCCTGTTAAAACCAAAATAGTTCGTAAAATCAGGCGAACCAAGGACGAATCCAGTGACTCAGAAGAAGAGTCATATGTGGTTCGAAGATTCATCCCCAAAGAAGAACTCGCCAGGATACGACAGGAAGATGCACTCAAACTACGAGGAGACCGTATTAAGAAACGCAATATGACGATGCCCCATCTCGACGATCTTCTGGAATTTGGAGATAATCCAGACAGATATGAATATGCACGACGATATCCACCACCCATGGAGAAAGATGATCCAGAGGGTTTTGGAATTGGGTGCGCGTTGGGATCTCGTGGCACCCAGATAAAGAAATGGTCCCCGAGGAAGTAATCATACGAGGCGATATCAAACGAGGAAGCGAAATATACCTCAATATCGTCTTCCAAGATTACGATGGCACAAGAACCCGAAGTATTCCAGCAAGAGCCTTAGTCGATTCTGGAGCAAAAGGAATGTTCATCAATGAATCGTTTGCGAAGAAAGCAGGACTCCATCTGCTCAAATCGCAGAAGGAAGTCAAGATTCGTAGTGTTGATGGAAGTCCCATCAACTCTACAAACCAACGATTTAAAGGCACTGTTCATGCAGGAACATACGAATGGAATGATGACTTCCTTGTCATCGACTTAGAAAAAGAAGACGTGATCATCGGCAATACGTGGCTTCATGATCACAACCCAATTATCAATTGGCAAACGGGTGAAGTCAAGGTCCGACAATATGTAGAAGACGTACCAGACGAAGAACCTTGGCCTTTCAAAAATCAAGACGCTGTCCGTCTTCCAATCACCAAAAAGGAGAAAGCCAAAGCCAAGCGAACCTTGAAAAGAATCGACTGGTCTGATGTCGATCCTACCCCGGATGAAGCAGGAACCGTTGACTCGGACCTCTTGCTTGCATACGTAAAAGGAACACCGTACTTGGAGGATCAGGAAATAGGAGAAAAAGAAGCTATTTTTGCCTATCAGCCTGATACTGGCATACTCCAAGAAGTTACGTTCGAAGAAAAAGAACACCGCTCGGCCGGAGAAAGGAAGATGCAGTATCTCGCACTACGATGAACGAATCATCACCAAACACGGAAAGAAGGTGATACCTTCTGGAAGGCATCAAATAAGGTGCAAGAACTCGCGCAAAAGAAAGCACTCGAGGAGAAGAAGAATTCCAAGAAGAAAGTGATGATACCATCGTATCTTCTCAAGTACAAGCGGATCTTCGAAGAAAAGGCATCGAAACGGTTACCACCACATAGATCTTACGATCACAACATAGACTTCAAGCCGGACTTTGTTCCTAAATGAGGAAAGGTCTATAACCTATCAAAGCCAGAAGAAGAAGCTATGAATGCCTTTATCGACAAAAATCTTGCAAAAGGATATATTCATCCTTCGCAATCCGCGATGGCATCACCTTTCTTCTTTGTAGGGAAGAAAGACGGCGGGCTATGTCCATGCCAGGACTACCGCTATGCGAATGAAGGAACGATTAAGGACGCCTATCCACTCCCACTCATATCGGACCTAATGGATCGACTCCACCATGCCAAGTATTTCGCGAAGCTTGACATTCGTGGAGCATATACCAATGTCCGAATTTGTCAAGGAGATGAATGGAAGGCTGCCTTCATCACCAAGTGAGGATTGTTCGAACCCACCGTCATGTTCTTCGGAATGTGCAATGCATTGGCAACCTTTCAGCGAATGATGAACGAAATATTCGCAGAAGAAATTGCCGAAGAATGGCTACTATGCTATCTGGATGACATCCTCATCCTTGCCGAAAGTGAAAAGGAGTTGGAAAAGAAGCTTGAACGAGTCATTCAGAAACTGATTGACAATGACCTCTATCTCAAGCTGGAGAAATGCGTGTTCAAGATTACGTGCACGGACTTCCTAGGACTAGTTCTCCTCCCAGGACGACTTCAGATGGATCCAGCAAAAGTCGATGGGATCATCAAATGGGAAGCTCCGACTGGTGTAAAAGGAGTGCGAGCATTTCTAGGATTCGCCAACTTCTATCGAAAGTTCATCCCGAACTATTCTGAACACGCAAGACCCTTAATTGATCTTACCAAGACCAAGGGCGGGAATGTGTTCCATTGGACAAGCAAAGAACAAGCCGCTTTCGACCATCTCAAAAATGAGTTCGGCAAGGCGCCAATAATGGTTATGCCAGACAAAGACAAGCCTTTTGTCATCGAAACTGATGCATCGGACTTCGCTACAGGAGCAGTCCTCATGCAAAAGGACGATAACGGTGACCTCCATGCCTGCGCATATTATTCCAAGTCGTTCTCCGATCCGGAACGAAATTATCAAATCTATGATAAGGAGCTACTAGGAATCATCCGCGCAATCAAGGAATGGAGACACTATCTCGACGGCACAAAGGAGCCATTCCTTATATGCACAGATCACAAGAATCTGACGTACTTCAGGCAACCGCAGGATTTGAACCCAAGACAGCGAAGGTGGCAACTCTTCTTGTCTATGTTCAATTACAAGATTGTCCATACGCCAGGACGACAAATGGTGCAAGCGGACGCGCTTTCACGATTGTCCGAATTAGACAATCGACAGGATAACAAGTCACCTGCAATCCTACTACCCGATGATCTTTTCATTGGCGCTATCGATACCGATATGGCGGAACAAATCCGACAAGCGTTAACAAAAGACCCGTCAATACTTGCGTACAAGGACGGCCTAATGGAAGAACTTCCAGTTCCACGAGGAATGACCAAGGACGACATCAAGGACGCTGACAATGGCTTAATCACCATCCATGGACGCGTATATGTCTCAAACAATACTGCCTTAAAGAAGGAAATTGTTCGACGATATCATGAGGCTACTCCTCATGGTCATCCGGGAATCTGGGTTACGCACCAACTAGTGCACAAAGATTTCTGGTGGCCAGGAATGTATCGCTTCATCCAAAGTTACGTCGACGGATGCGCCACCTGTCAGCAATCCAAAGCTGTTCAAAACAGGGTCAAAGTTCCACTACAGCCCATCGGCCCTTCGCCCAATGCGCTACCCTTCAAGCAGGTTAGCATGGATTTTATTACAGATCTACCGAACAGCGAAGGCTTCGATTCAATAATGGTCGTGGTAGACCATGGGCTTAGTAAGGGGGTAATTCTATGTCCCTGCAAGAAGACGATCACTGCCTCGGAAACCGCCGAGCTATTCAGACGACAAGTTTGGAAACGCTTTGGGCTACCTGACAAGATCATCTCCGATTGTGGAACACAATTCGCATCCAAAGTCTTCCAAGCACTGTATACTGCGCTCAAGATCAAATCAGCTATGAGCACAGCCTATCACCTGCAGACGGATGGTGAAACGGAGCGAATGAATCAAGAATTGGAAACATATCTTCGAATGTACTGTGCGGAGCAACCGCATCGATGGAATCAATTCCTATTCGAAGCAGAATTCGCGCACAATCTCCACACTCATTCAGTGACAAAGAAGTCACCATTCGAAATATGGTATGGCTACGAGCCCCGAGGAATGCCAGAACTGTTTCCTCAGGATGAGATCCCCGACGTGGACGCAAGACTCAAGCTTCTCAGCATGGTCCGCAAGGAGGCCACAGAAGGAATCATCAAGGCAAAAGCCCGTGTATCCGCCAGGATCATAGGAGGATCTCCGACGTTCAAGAAAGGAGACAAGGTTTGGCTGGAAGCCACCAATTTGAAAAGGCCTTACAAATCGAACAAGCTAGCACCGAAGCGAGAAGGACCATTCAGAATCAAGGAGGTTCTGGGACCTCTCTCATTCAAGTTAGACCTTCCGATGACATGGAAGATCCATCCAGTGTTCCATGCGGCATTGCTCACGTCGTATCGGCAGACCAATACACATGGGGAAAGTTATTCAACACCGCCTCCGGATCTTATCGAAGGAGAGGAAGAATTTGAAATCGAGTCTATAATTGGACACCGACTATGGCGCAGCAAGAACGAATATCTGGTAAAATGGGCTGGATATCCACTCAGCGAAAGATTGTGGGTAAAAGAGATGGAAATGGGCAATGCAGGAGAGCTGTTGAACGAGTATAAAAGGGAGCACAACTTGGCCTGAACCCTTAGTCCATGCCCCAATGCCCGTGCAACATCCCAAGTTTCTCGAATCTGCTATCACCACTTTTGCGCACCTTATCAAAGTTCTCGAAGACGTCGAATCCCACTCCTCCCACGATCATCGTTACCAGGTCTTCCAACAGCTCGGAGTCTATCTCGCTATCAGAGGGGCTGGATTCACCATCGAGGATCTTGCCGACTTCGACCATACCAACGTCGAGTTCAACACGACCCATCCAAATCATGATGGACCATCTCATCCAGAGAGCGGACGATGTCCATGAAGTCCACCTCCTGGACGGCTTCAGGTCAACTCGATGACAGCCATATCTAACCCCTCGCCCCAGTGGGTTAATCAGAATCCCTTATCCGTTTCCATTCCAAACGGACAAGCTGAAGGTAACACTAGAGGACGACGTCGATATCGACCTAGACGGAACATGGGGAACATTCATGAGAATGAACTACCCAATGTACCTAATGGAGGAACTTCACCTGCCCCGGCTAGAGCCAGATCGACGCCGGACTATCCTAACAGCCGTCTACGCCGGCCTTCCAGTGGGAATCCTCCCACCATCGTACGCTCTAGATCATCTGCTACACTTTGATATCTTACCAGCAGCACTCTCATTCGCTCTGGATGCATTCAGTGTTGTACACGGTACCGTATCAAGAACAATGACAATACCAGCGGAAGAACGTACGGGAATGGCGAACATCCACATCACGGATTGGTACGAAGAAGAAGAACGGCTGCTCGAAGGTATAAGTAGCGGTCCTCCTTTCCCCCTACTGGACCATCGTCTCCTCCTACTCGAGTGGGAACTCTACGAGGAAATCTACCCTTGGGATAAAGAGAATCGTCCTGCTATACCACCTCCACCCATGTCGCTTAACATCCGTGTCACCACCACTGTCACTCGCAGCGCATCGGAGCCAGGACTACTCCTCGATAGTGATGGAGACGAACTCCCGCTTCTCGGCAACCTTAGCGACGAAGCACTGGCTGAATCATGGAGGAGTGCACGTTGGGGAGACGATGAAGACGAGACAGGTCGATGGACGATGGGAGGATCTTGGACAACAGGGAGAGCCTGGGGTGGAGACGATGAACAGGCAAGGAGTGCCGACGATGAACAACCCGGCTACCCTCACCATCCTGGTGCCACCTACCCCTACAATACCACACCGGAGGACGGGTCACAACCTGCACCCGCTGACACCATCAAGGAGCAGATCAGGTACGCTCGAACGGTCAAGTCGTCGAGCAACCCAGTGGCAGGACAGGTATCGCTTATCGCCCCAGACGTAGCATCACCCTATGACGTCTTCATCGCCACGCCACTAACATTCCTCATGGAACGCGATGGCCATCATCTCTATGTCCGTCGTACGGGCACGGGTGACTTCGCCACCTTCCACGCCTTCGTCTTCACTTGGGACAACTAGAAGGTCACCTGGCACCTCTACTCGGAAGACTCGCCTTATCGCGTCTTCAGCCAATGGGTCGCGCTACTCTATCCACCACCCATCCCAGGCATGCACGACTGGCATCCAACACCCAACCGGATGAGCATCATCAGCGTTCATTTCGCGGGCAAGGAAGAAGGCGTCGAACAATACGAGGTCGAACTATTCAGGACGTTCTCTGATCAAGTCCACTACAGAGATGCCAAGACACCTCGTGAGTTCACGCCGGTCATCTTCCAACCCCTCGTTGCCATGATCGAGCGCCCTGGATGGCTTACCGACAGTGTCGAAGCACTGAAGGCGGTCCTCTATGAAGACGGATCCATCTCGCACTGGGCGCCCACCGAGTTCCATCCTCAGCCACAAGAGGATCTCGACGCGGAATGGGAGGTCGTACCCCATACCACCATCCCAGTTTATGGCCATGTGGGTGTCCGTGGAGGACGATGATGGGTTAGTTTGGTGAGTGGTCGTCAAGGGTCTTGCCGGTTGGAAAGGGGAGCTTGTGTTACGGTTTCAGCGCTTCATGGTCACGTGACAGTTTACGTTGCACGTGGCACTTACTATTTATGGTTCATAGGTCTTGTGGACATATTCTAGGGTTAGCAGTTTTCGTTTTTACGATTTACTCACTCAGGCCAT